TAGTCTAAATCTATTTTTCTCCCCTTACCTCTCCACACCCTCTTTTTCTCTTTCCCTCACTTTCTCTCGTAATCGTCCCCTTTCTTAAATATAACCGCGCGGACCTCCCGGGTGTTTTCACGGAGTGTCTCTCCCCGAAGAAGAAAGTTGACCCTTTTGTAACGCGTCGCTGTCACGGGTTATTCTATACTTTTCTCGGTTATCGGATACAAGAATGAGAAAGGAGAGATTCATGCAAACGTGAGAGCGTTGCAAGAAGATTGTGTCACCGAGGGAGAAGAACAAATGGGGAAGATCGGATATTCTACGTCGCAATTTGTGAAACAGATGATGACAGAGAGATTACAGCATTTTATACCATCAATAATAATATAATAAACAAATTAAAAACAAGTGAAATTACATATAAATACCGGTAACCTAATAATGTTGTTTAAATATATATAATAATGTTGTTTAATGTTGTTTAAAAAGTCATACGAAACGAACGAGAATAAAAAAGAAAATACCACAATGCGCGACATTGATATTTTACTTAATATTTCATCTAACATCTTAACATATTTATCTATTATATAATTAAATATTCATTATATTATTCACTTTGAAATTAAAGCTATTTATGTTTTTATTTGTTCATACTTTTTACGCAATCTTTATCTAAAATTGCGAAAGTGTTTCGTCACAAAAACAAAATTTTCCCCGATAGAGCGTACCTCATAAAGCGTTCGACCTTAATCCGTATATTGACACTTCTAGCAAGGTCGACCCTTCAATCTCGTTCCGCAAACGAAAGCTCGCAAGTCCGTGCTTATGTCTCCGCTTACGAATAAGAAAAAAAAAAAAGGAAAACAGTAGAGAAAAGTCTCACACGCACATGCTACGTGATAAGTTATATATGCGAGACGCTCACATGGAAATCAACAATAAGTGGCGATCGACGACAAAAAATACGACTGTTTAAATCGCGGGAACAAGCGATACGCGCGATAACATGTTGACAAACATACGCGACCTATCAACAATAAGCGTCCCTCCTCTCCCTTCTGAAACACACCGACGAACATGACTTCGATAGTTCACCTCGCCACATGTACATGTGTCTCTTTCGACATTTCGCGCACACGCGTTATATTACATAATAATTATCGCAATACCGATAATAAGAACGTGACTAATGATAATTACGGCAACAAAGATAAAAAAGAGCCGCCATGCTGTCGCGTCAGCCGCGCGATACACGCGGAAAAAGGTTAATTGAAAATCGCGACAAAGCATTCCAGTCTCCGCGCGGAAGGACACCGTTTCCAGGCGGTACACATTTCTGAAGGGCGTCTTCAAGACGTTTCTTGTCTCTTGTTCACAACCTTGCGTTAAGACATAAGCAGTAAATATATTGTTCGTTTATTAGAAGAATAATCGACCGTAGTTGGTCAATGACTTACATCTTAAAGCAAGGTTGTAGATAAGGATTAACCCCTTGCCCCTCAATCTTGTTTTAAAACGTAAGCAGTAAGCAAATTGACCAACCACGGTCGTTTATTAGAAGAATAATCGATCGTGATTGGTCAATTTGCTTACATCTTAAAGAAAGATTGTGGATACACGTGGGATACACGTTCAAGCTATGTAATAATATAATATCGCCATTGCTCACGTTCGTCCTTGTCAATATTCTTCTTTTTGTTTTCTTTGTTCTTCGCTGTTTTTTATATACTTTAGTGCCTGGTCTATTAGCCAAGTTCTAACGAAAGAAAAATTATTTCAAGAAGTAGAAGAAAATAATCAAGAGATTAATATATCTGTGAGATACATTGTAATCAGTCATGGGTGGAAAATATTGCGACTAACGGAGGGTTAACCCTTTGCACTCCGCTGTCGCCGTAGCGGCGACATGGTTGTTTTGCTGCCTCGGCACTTTAAGAAATTTTAAGTCCTAAAATTTATGTTTTTCTTTTATAATATAAGTTAGAATATGTTTTGTTATAAAATAGCTAAGAAATAAAAATTTTGTTTTATTGAAACGACTCTATTTTTCTTCTACATCATAGGTATGTACTTGGAACTAATAGCCTCTATGCATTACTAGGCTGGAGTGCAAAGGGTTAAATGTCACTAAGGTATCTTTGAGAATTGTGTGCTGGAGTTCGGGTTGCACACATTGAAGCCTTACTTGATCGCAAAACAAACGCTAAATACGTCTTCCTCATTCTAAGTATTGTTTTTCTTCTACGAATATCACATGCATTAACATACATTGTTTCACATTACACAAACGTCGCCCGCTCAAGTCCCAACGTTGCTTCAGCTTGAGAATAGGAAAGACGCATTTAGCGTTCAGTACGCGTCGCAGAGAGGACGGTTCCTGGGAGACGACCGTGAATCCTCTAGTGCGAGCTCATGAAAAATGAACGTTTCCAAGTACTTTCAAATTAGAGAAAGGAACTTCGCTTTCCACGAGTTCACGCTAGAGGAAGAGGTTAACCCCCAGTGCGGGAAGGAGGAAAAAACACGGAAGTTCCGACGGCTCGGGGGATATCGGCTCGAGCCGACGGGCGAGCCGCCGCCTGTCGTCGTGAAAACGCCGATTTGCCCGAATCTCGACGATCGAGCGACCGAGGCAACTCCGTATTTCCCCCCGCACTCTCCACACCTCGCCTCACCTTTTTTTCCTCCCGCCGAAACGCGCACTTGTCGTGTCTCGGAAGCGCGGTCGAAAATAGGCTCGCCGTTTGCGCTCCCCCTGTGTCCCCTCCGCGAAATTTTCCTCTTGATCGCCCGCTACGTCGAGATACACAGGAGGGCAGAAAAACGGCACGGGCGAATCCCAGGGCGAGCCCGACGGCTGGGCTTCGCGTAGTCGGGAAAATGCGCGGGTCGCACGCTCGAAACACCGCAACGACGGCGAGAAACCCGACAGACAGATAGACACACACACACACGCGCGCAAAATCGAACTTACCTTTTCCCGAGAGACATATTGTTCAGTGCAGCATCGTTCCGGGGTGAACACTCGTGCTGAACACCAGCCGTTGAACACTCACCGAACGGTCAGATGCTCGACGTCGCGACACCGGCGATTTAAACAATATGGCCGTGGCTCACCCTCCGGGACAATAAAGCCAGAGAGAGGCCCGAGTTGTCCATGAACGACGAACGAGCGCGCGCGCAAACGATACCGGGGAACACGACGATGACGGGGCGATGGAAGAGAAAGAGAGAAAGAGATAGACAGAAATATTTGCCTCACATCCGCGAATGACAGAACTGTCATGCGACCCGTCGCGTTCGACAGTCGCGTTCACCTCACCGCGGCGAGTCGGCCGATCGATAATCTTATCGCGCGGATTCACGCGTCACACTCGACTTGCACTCGACGTCGATCGGGGTTACGACGGGCAGCGACGTACGTGTGCTCGCTGCGACGCGCTCACCTCCGCGCGGGGTAACTTCGCGATGGCGCGCGGGGAGAGACCGCCGGTGGTGCGTGTGTGAGTGCCGCGAGTGTAGGTGTGACTGTCGCCCGCAGACTCCTGCCTTACCGACCATGAGCTTTATCACCACCGGGATTTGTTCGGTGGACTCCCCTCGGGCCGCTTCGTTCTTCTTTTTGCGCGTAATCGCGTAGGACGGACGTAGTTCGCTTCCGTAGACGTGCGAAGTTTTCTCGTCGCTTGTGTGACGCTGATTTGTGTGTCTCCCAAGAGATCGTTACGTCACGTTGTGACGCTGGTAGCGGGCGCGTTAATTAGAGATTACTGTGCTCCAGAGATATTTGAGCTTTGTGGTATCATCGGGAACATGTCACGTGTTGAGTCGCTCGGTTTATCAGCTTCGCGAGAGATATCGCGTAAATGTGTGTGTGTGTGTGTGTGTGTGTGTATGTATGTATGTATATTCGGTAGTTCGATACTGTTTTTGGTATATTCTTAAAGGATTCGTTCGATTTATCGTTGAACAGTCGTACGGATGGATTCATTGTGCAATTGATGTTGCATGTTGTTGAAATAAAAGAATTGAAAAGTGGTTATTTCTGCACTTCACGCGCACAAAGCCGGCACTGTTGACATCTGTGCGAGAAAAAGTGAACTACGATGAAAGGTGTAAATGATAAAGTAAACAATTTTCAGGTTGAATAAGGTTCAAATCAATCCGAATCGATGTGAATTTAAAGGAGTGCCAAGACCGATGACGAATTAGATAAGCTGCGATAATGTAAAGGCGATCCTCAAAATATTAAGGGTGCGTTCGGGAAGCGTGCTATTAGCGTTGATCAGGGCTAGTCATCCTATTCTTGTCGTATATCTAATGAAGGATAAAGATAAAATGACGCGTTAACGTTGATAGAGTCCTCCCCGAACGCAGCCTGAGTTATATCAGGCCTCAGAAAAAAATACAACTTTCAGCCAGATGTCAGAGTGCACTCCNCCCCCCCCCCTTGCCGCCCACGATATGGTGAATTCGATTGGATGCACTAAAGTGCATCATATATAATCGCTTTCAGCAGAACGATTACGTTTACTTTGCAACTGCAGTTTTCTGTGCTGACATTGGATTATTTCCGTAGATTTAAAAGAATAATCTAATCTCAGCTCGGAAAATTTCCAACAGTTGCAAATTAAACATTCGGCTGAATATAGCCATTGACGTTAACGATTGACGTCAAAGAAAAAAGTTAGATCGCATCCACTTCTAGCGTCACGCACCGATGAGATAATACTAAAGACCATTGCTTTCATGGAATTTAGCGTAAAAGAAAATTCCTCTGTTTAATAAGTTGATAAATCCAGATGATAAATTTGTTCCACCAACGCTATTGTTTAATAATCTCCCGTTGATAAATTTCTTGGTAGATTTATGTTAAATCAGCATAAATGATAACTGCAGAAATACAGTTTCACAAAAATATTTAATATATTTCAGCATTGTTTATGCATATATCAATAAAAACACCGAGGGAGAGGGGGGATAACCGTAAATAACAAAATTAATACTCTCATTATACCTTGATCCCCGTACCCTCCCAGATATTTGTATTGAATAACTAAAAATGGTTAAATATTCATGCCATCCTTCTTCAATTACCTCCGAATCCTTCGGAGTCTCTATCACCGTACGAAAATTTATGCAGAGCTGAAAGTCTTTAATGTTACCTCGCCAGTGCTTCGTGCAACGTGAATTACCAAACATAAGATTTGAATTTATTCGTCAAAATTTATTTCGTTCCCTCCAAAGTAATCCTCTTCCACTATAATGCATTTACGTCAACGTTTTTTCCAATCTTCGAAACATGCTTTAAAGTCGTTTTCGTCAAACCCTTCTCGGACTCGCAGCGAATTTTTTTTTTTATGTCATCAATCGATTCAGAATGAAGCGGAAATTTTAGTCGGGGAAAAAATCACACAATGCCATATCAGGTGAATATGGAATTTGCGGGGCCGTATTTGTTGAATTTTTGACCAAAAATTCACGAACAACAAAAGCATTGTGAGCAGGTGCATTATCGTGGTGCAAAATCCAATTATCTCGCCACAAATCAGGTAGTTTTCTGCAAATTGCTTCACACAAACGACGCAAAATGCTCAAATAATATTATAATTATATTAAATATTATAATAATATTCCTTATTGGCAGTTTGATCAGTCGGAAGGAATTTGTGATGCATAACACCACGACAATTGAAGAAAACAGTCAACATTATCTTGATTTTTGATTGACTTTGACGTGGTCTTTTCGGTCTTGCTTCACCTTGCGAGCGCTTTGATTGTTGAACTGTTTCGGTGACAAAAGCGCAGATTTATGTTTCATCACTCGTAATGATGCGTTTTAAGAACGATTTGTCTCCAGAAAACATTTCCTCGGTCGTTTTAACACGTTTTTTTGGAAAAAATTCTACGTTTTCGGGATGACTCGAGATGCGACGCGCCGCAAGTCTAAATGATCTTTTAAAATTGCTTGACAGATCCAAACGATATTGAAACATGTTGAATAATGTCCCTAATTGTTAAACGACGATCATTGAGCACCAAATCTCTGACTTGAGCGTCGTCTTACTCATCAGTTGAAGTGGATGGTCTATCAGAGCATTCCTTGAACATCTTGTACCATTCGGAAACTCTGATTTTTGATAGAGTATCGTCACCAAAGGCGTTTTGCAACATTTCCAAGTTTTTGTAATAGTAATTCCATTGCAAAAGCAAAATTTAATGCACGTTCTTTGCTCAATTACACTCGACATTTTGGGAAATCGCCGAAGCAAAAATTTTTCACACAAAATATAAGCGTTTATTTGCAAACGCAAACAGATAATAACTAGATGGCGATGAAACTCGTACCAACCTGAGAAAGAAACGATAACAGCGCCATCTTGCACGCATGCAGTTTAAATAAACCGTTCCTGATACTTTTCGATTACAGTAGTATTTCTCAGAGAAAAACAAACTTCACACAAATATTTTTAAATGTATGTATTTTAAGAATATGTAATAAGAAAAAAAATGGCCAAATATTTTTTTCTCCATGTAATTCCCCCCTTAAATATCACTCTACCCTCAATGTGGTATTTCTGAACGCAGCCTAAAATTGGTTCAGAAAGTGCAGCCATAAAGAACAGATCTCTACAGTCGCTGAGTATTCGCCTATCCGTAGCCGTGGACGTTTTCCGCGGCAATTTCATATATCGTTGCGATGTTCGCCGGCGTCGATGGCGACACGAATGTCAACGATAAACACACGATTTAAGCGAAGATGAAATTCAGATGCAGAATGATGGACGCGGGCTCCATGCGGGATTTCACGAGTAAGATCCGAATTCTACGGGCATTTCTAACCTCGTTTCACACGTCAAGTGTATAAATCATAACATCGCACAAATTCCTCGCTCTCTCATCGACGCGCAAAATATTTACGATTTTTTGCTTTACGAGCAGATCGAATAATTCCCTGCTGACTCTCAGCTGTGTTTTTTCTTCGACCTTCACGCTAATCACGCGAGATTTCAGGCATCGTCAACACCATATCCCGGATGGCGAAATTTTGCGTCCTGCGCCTCACACCGGACGAACTGTGCTTCAACGTCGGCGACGAGAGAGTGCCTGTGCTCTGGGCGGTGCTCTCTCAGGAGCACTTCTTCACCGAGTACACGATGGTCGGCGTATGTGAAGATGAGAACGAGATCTGTCTGGAATACGATGCGTCGATGTTCGCCCGGAGTTTGAACAGTCTGAAGGTAACGGCGAAGAGCGTGAAAATCAAGTTGACAAATAAGCGGCAGCCTTGCCTGACGTTCGAGATCGACCTGTCCTCCGTGGCGATCGATTCGCGACAATGTGTGCACGACGTGCCAGTGAGGCTGATACCGCGCAAGGAGTGGCAGGAGTACAAAATGCCCGTCATCCCTGAATTCGATGTGAGCGCAACCAGACGCATTGTCCTGCAATGATCCATCCAGCGTGTAAACGATCTTCCATTTCAGATATCCCTGGAGATACCGCAGCTCAAGTACCTGCGGCACATCGTGGAGAGGATGAAGAGCATGAGCTCCAGGCTGGCGGTGATCGCCAACACACAGGGTACACTGATGCTCAGAGTCGAGGTGGACCAAGCTACTGTAACGACTCACTTCAAAGGTCTGCGGGTTTGGAGCAGGCAAGGAGAGCAGGAGGAAGAGAACGGTGATGTTTCCGCGACTGTTAACGTAAAGAAGCTCGCGATGTTTCTGGGCTGGGACAGCCTCCATCCAGACAGTGTCAAGTGTAACATATTGCGGGAAAAGATGGTGAAACTGACATTGGATGTGGGCGATCACGTCAAGATGCATTACTTTGAGCCAGCTATTGCTCTTTGAACATGGTTCGGTGGAAGCTCTCAATCACACAGCGATGTTACCGAAATGTAAAATATACGTTTATTTCAATCGTATCCAGTTGCGCGCTATTCACTCTCTCCGTTGGATCGACTAAGCTAACGTTTTCCAAGGGAGAAGTAAGAACAAAATGATCCTTGCGAGTCCGTGGGAGTTCACAACGCGATCGGGACTAATTGTAAGCTAGATGCAGATTCTGTTCACTCTCTTGCCTAAAGTTCTGATGCATCTGGTCGATCTGTTGGATTTTCTGGCTCAGCAAAGATGTCTGTTGATCCAGCCACTGCAAACTGTTCATGTGCGCGTTCAAGATCTTGCCGATCTGGACAATGGGGTCGCTGGAGTCCTGAGCGCGGTTCGCTTCGTTCAAGTGTTCTATTATCTCCTTCAGGTCCTCCGACATGCGTTTCAATTGCGTGTCGAGGTTCTCCGACAAACGGTACGTGTACTCTCGATCGGGATCCGAGACGGAGAGCAACGCCAGTTCTTTTTCTAATGGCACCAGGCACTCCTGCAGCTCCTTCTGCTGCCCAATCTGCGAACAGGATTATTTCGACGAGACTTTAGTGCTCAATTTCGCGCTAATCTTCATTAAAAGTAAAACTTGTACAAATTTGTCTGTATACATAAATTTTACACATGCATATGCTGCAAATACAACTTACCACATAGTCTAATTCGTGTTCTAATTGCTGTTGTTCAAATTTCACCCTTTCGACCTCCTGATTCAATATTACTATCTTCTCCCCGTTCGTTATCAGCAATTTGTCCCAAACGTTAACTTGCGTCGCTTGGTTCACGAATACTTTCTCTTGTTCTTCTAATTCTAAGGTCCACTTGTTTATCGACTCTTCGAGTTGACAGAAATTGATAGCCGCTGGTTGAATACCGGTTGCAGAAGTGACACTGCAATATATGAATGTAACAAAAAGAAATATCACGAATTCAATAAATGTTTTGTTGAACTTACTTTGTTGCCCAGCAAAACGCGTAGATAAAGTGCTTACGTGGTGGTGGTTCCGAGAGAAGTGTGAGGGGCTGCTGGCGCTGTTAGACTGGTTGAGATAGCGGCAGAAGTTGTTTTGCTCAATGGAAACGCTGTTGAAGTGGTTGCCGTTGTGCCGACCCCGAAACTAAATCCGCCCACTGTAGTTATCGCAAGAGAAAATCCTGTGGAAGCAGCTGTGGTGGTGCCAGTTTTCGAAGCATCGAATGAGAGCCCACTCACAGGTGTTGGTGCTGAACTGCTGGTCAGATTAAAGCTTGGGGCTGATGCTACTGTAGTTGTGGACGTTGTAGTCGTAGTTGTGCTGCCTAAACCAAAGCCGGTTCCAATGGCCATAGGATTTGGAGTACCAAAAGTCAAGCCAGTGGATCCTTGTGTAAGCACGGTAGGTATCAGTCATCAATAGTGGTATCAATTTGAATAAATTTTAGAAACATCAAGTTTGATAAAAAATTTCCATGGATTAAGGAAAAAAATTATATCAAGAAAATAAAATGTCTATTTAGTAGTAGTAGTTTTAAGATATTATCTGAATTATTTGAATGATGCCTCAAGATTAGCTTTTAAGAAATCATAGAAACTCTGATCATTCTATGCCAGAAAGCTGTACCTGTCAGAGGTTTTGCTGCTGGAACACCAAAACTGAAGCCTCCTGCTGTAGTTGTTGCCAAAGGAAATCCTGTAGCTGTTGTTGTGGTTGTAGATACTTTAGCGGGATCAAAGGAGAGTGATACTCCAGATGTGGGTGTGACATTACTTGTAAGAGCAAAATTGGGCAGATTTGGTGTTGCAGACAAAGCTGTGGTTGTTGCAATGGTATTACTGCTAAGACCAAAGGTAGTTCCAGAAGTCATTGTGGTGGGAGTACCAAAGGTCAAGCCAGTGATTCCTGGAAAATACAAAAGATATATCACTACAGGTACTGGATTTAATTTCTGCAGGTTGATATATATATCGAAAAATACGCGACTTCCGTGAAAACTAGCGAAATAGGCTCTATTACTATATATTACTATACACATATTTATTAAGATGAGAAACGCAAAAACGTTTGGCACGTTTCTTCCTCATAAATACATCACACCTGTTGTTGTTTTTGGTGTCCCAAAGGATAATCCCGAATTTGGAGGTGTAGTCATTGTGGTAGTTTCAGAGAATTTCCAGAAACGTCTTTCAATCCGCCGCTTCGCAGTATTCTAACCTCAACCGACGGTTACAGCGGAATTAAGGCACAAACATCTGTATCAGAACGCTTTACTAAACTGCTAACTAGATCGAAATACAAAGTCCTAGAAAATATGTACGGTCAGTCACAGGACGGTTGCAGCAGTCGCAAGAAGTTACAATGTTTTTTCCCGATGAGCTTCGCATCCTTCATTTTCGCGAGCTTCAACGCATCTCGTATCCAATATTTGTGTGACATTAAATAGGAAAAGATATCTCTTTGGAATTACTAAAAAAACGAATTTTCTTACGGCTTCTGCCCACAGGACGCAGCAACGCTTGCCGCGCGGCGGAAATTCCGAAACTTAAGCCCGTATTGGACGATACTCGTTTTTTTGTTAGATCTAGTAATATACTAGAAATTAGTCAACTAGAATGCAACATTTCTAGTATGTTACTAGATTTATCAAGGTGTTTACGTTTAGCAATTGGATTTCCAATCGGATCAATCGATAGACGTATAATAACTAGACCGCGCGGATCAATCGTATTGCTATCAATATACTAGGGAAAAAAGTTCCCTAGACCATCGCACCTGTCGCTTCTCTAGTGTGATTGATCTCAGGCCTTAAACCTGTATACCGGAGTCGGATGTCGGAACGTAGCCGATGGTCCAATGAGAGAATTTATTTTTCGAAAGCGAGTTCTCCTCGGAGTATTGTAGAACAAGCCTAAAGCCCATATCAGACTACGGATTGGGGATTGAGATTGAATTGAATTTAGCCAATCGGTACAAAGTTAACTGAATTCTAGTTTAGTGAAATTTAGTGAACTTTGCACTGATTGGTCAAATTTCAATTCAATCTCAATCTCCAATTCGTAATCTGATATAAATGGGGCACAGATGTAATCTGCCCTGCGCCGGATGTCGGATGCAGTGTGAATCCTGCATTATGCTGGTTCGTTTACGAACGCATCGGAAGGTAAACATACTGTGATGATTGGTTTCAGAATACGCTTCTCCTTCGAGTACTCGCAAATGAGCGCGATTAAATGTGCATTTAAACGGCTACTTTTTTTTTACCGACAAACCCTTGTCTGGCACTTTTCCCGTCATACCTGCGGGTCCACGCTACCGTGACGCGGATACCGACGCGAATAAGCGTCTTGTCGAATGAGTCTTTCGAAGATGGCCATTTTGGCGGGTGACGTGTTTGTGCGTGCCCGCTCTTGACAGCCATAAAACGATCGGTCGCGTCGTGCGCGCGCGCGCGCGCGTGAGAGAGAGAGAGAGAGGAAGAGAGGCGGATCGCGTGTTCCGGCGCGGCGCGTGTCGCGCGATTGCACTCGGCACAATTTAATCGCGCGTACATCGCGCCGGGGGGGAGGGAGGCGCGCGTACGCGGATCGCGAGGAAGCGTGACCGGCGTCCGTACCGCCGGACGGTAAACATTGGATTCACCGCGACGTACGATTTGCCGCTGCGCTAGGGGGGGCAATGCACCATGGGAACAATTTGCGACAGGCGCATGCGCAAATCAGTTTACAGTTGGAGCCTGAAAGAAAATGGCGTCAGCTAAGTTTCTGGAGGAAGCTCTTAGCACTGATGTCGACGAATCTGCAGTGAACGCGATAGTGGGCTCCCTCGAGACGCAGCTGGTGACGTCGACGCCGACCGTGGCCGGGCATCAGGCGGGTTCCGCGTCGGTCAGCCAGCAGAATCATCAGGTGAACAGCGCTATTTCCAACGGGGGCACAATCACGACGGTGCAGCCACAGAAGCATGGGGTTTCGAACGGCGGCGGTGCCACCACGGTGAACAGCCTGATGACTCAGGAAGTCGCCAAGTCCATCACCACCAGCACTCTGCTGCCGGTGAACGTGGTTACTTCGAACGCAGTGGCGCCACAGGTCATCACCACACAGCAGCAGCAACAGCAGCAGCAGCCACAGCAGCAGCAGCAACCGCAGCAGCAACAGCAGCAGCAGCACACACAAGCAGCGGGGATATCCGCATTCATCAATCAAGTAACCTCGAATCAGGTGTCGAGCAATCAGACCGCGCATATACCGAGTCTGACGAAGTCGCACGAGCCAGTGAAGATCATCTACCCCGCCACCGTTGGCCAAGTGATCGCCACCACGGGGGTCGCGAATGCGAACAACAAGCTTACTTTTCCCGCCCAAACTGTTGGTCAGTTAGCGAACGGTACTCTGGGTATCACCTCACCGGCAGTGTTGCAGACCACGTCGAATGCCGTGACCAACGTGGGCTCCGTCAGTCAGACGGGCAGCCAAACAGTGACCGGTGTGAACAAGCCGACAGGTACGGCTCTAGTGATCAAGACCAGTGTCGCACCGGCCGGCATGGTGTCCGTTCCTATGACCGTACCAGTTTCTGGCAATGCGGTGAGCACAGCACTGCAGGCCAAGGCTGGAGTCACCTCCACGATAGTGCCCAGCAATGTTCAAATTCTCAATGTAAATACCATGCGGCCTGCCACGCCGGTGACAGGCCAGCAAGCCAATAAGCAAGTCACTTCTAGAGTGGTGATAGGCCAGCCTATGGTCGGGACGAGATCAGGAGCTCCAGGGGTAAGAGGCCGAGCTTGACTTTGTATTTGTAAACAGAGCTACGCGTGAGATTTGTTTTCCCACGTATACGCACGTGTGTCGAGCAATAGAGCAAAGATAACAGAGCTTGTTCTTGCGAATATCATTCGATATACTTCTAATTTCAGTTGATGTGATTTAAATTACACGATGTCAAAATATCTTCGTAATTTGTCAAGTCATTTTATTGAAAGCGCACATTTCCTTGAGTCTCGTGTTATTTCACTGCCGTTTGTGATAGAATTTCTCTCCTGGTCTTTTGTGCGAAATAGAGAATGAGAAGGGAATGTGTGGCGAGATAGTAACAATGAATATCGTGGTTTTCAGATAACGTTACAGGCTCTTCACGGCCTCCAACCTGGAACTCAGGGTCATCTGTTGTTGAAAACAGAGAACGGACAGTTTCAGTTATTAAGGGTGGGACCAGCACCGACCGCCGGTACTCCCACTGGTACTGCGGTTACACCCAATAGTATAGCTGGAAATGCAGTAGTTGCTGCTCCGTCTCCAGGCACTACCTATCGCCTAGCTTCAGTGCCGGCTGTAAGTAGGCTGAATACTCAGTACACTGGCCCACCACTCGCCACCCTAAGAAAATCTGTTCAGGTGACGCACTTTTATACCTCTTACAAGACTCGATGTAGTACTGTCGTAGAGATTTTTTATTAGTGACTTTACATTTTTTTCCCTGTGGAATGGTGTTTTATTTCAGTAAGGTGATGTGTTACATTTTTCACACTTTTGCGTTTTGTCCGTTTATACACGTTGAGATATGCGAATTACACTTTCGAGGCGGGAATGTTCATCATCGATTACCTCTTCATTTATTGATTGTTTGCAAATACTTAGTGCGTTTTAATTTCTGCGAGCACTACTTCTGTAGAAGGATTGCGTATACTTATACGTATATACATAGCTTTCAAATATGTATTAATTATGAATGCTACAGTTTTTAAGAGCGACTCTCTTTCACAACGTAACTTCGTTCTACTGTGTTCCATCAGATGATTGGCGATTTATCATCATTAGCTTATTTTTTGGGATGCATTTCTTTGGTAGTATGTCTTGAGTTTTATGGAGTGCAATAATTTTGCAGGTGAAATCCAACGCCTTCGTCAAATTATCGAGTATTGCATGAATTTCTGGTTAAAGGTGTTTTCGTAGGCTTTGAGAACTAAATTATTTTGAGGAAACCCATAACGGAGAATATTTACGTTTAATATATATTTTTTTTCTTTTCTTTATCTTTTTCCTGCATACGTGCATTTGTGCTGCAAAAGTTTATCTCTTTACTAATATATTTTTAAAAAATGTCATAAATCTGTATATCTTGATCGCTATATATAGAAAAGAAATGAGTAGAAAGATTTAAAAATTAGATGACTATATTCTACGTTATTATTCTATACGTTAACGTATAGCTATTATGTACGTTAACGTATGCTATTATTCTATACGTTAACAATATTATAATTTAGTTGAAAAGATGTGCATTGCTATTATATTTTCAAAATATAGATATAATTTCATTAAAATGCATTAAAATTCATAAATAATACTTTTTTTAATATTGCTGTAAAACGATCAATGAATGTTGACTATTGCGACACATGTTGTTTAAACGATATTTTTACATTAATAACTCAACTTATATTAATAATTAATTTATATTAATAATTTAACAATTGTGCTATATTGCAAAGACGAGTCTGTACAAGGTACAAGTGCGTCTGTAGAATACATTATAGCGAATAAGTCGATTATTATTGCAATTACTTGAATTCAAGAGTTGTTTAAAACATTTAACTCAGTCACTGTAAGTAATTGATCTGAATAGTTATAATGTGCAAGTAACTTATACGATTGTGATTATTTGGCAACTGTAGCCAATGAATTAATACTTTTCAATTGGGTATTATCATTTGTTTCTGTTTCTCTCAGCATGCACGTAGAAAAGTTAGATTTCTCATGTAGTAATATAGAGTTTGCCAAGATTCTCTTAATTGCATGCAATAGACAAAAAATTTGTCACACGATAACTTTATATACTTTTTTTGAAAGAAATATTCACTTCTTTATCTTGCATTTATAATTGTTATGCGTAAATATAAAGTAAGTATAACGTATGACTTTTGACATTTAAATTGCGCAAATTGAACATACAATGTGAAAGAGTAAGAAATATGTTTTCTGTTAAGTTAAATTTTACTTTGCAACCTGTCGTGCATTAAATTTTTCATTTTACTGCACATATATTCACAGGGGGAAATTATTTTTATATACAAGATCATAATAATTTTTCTTATACATATTTTTTAGAATTCTAATTAAACGATTAATGTAACAGTTATTATTTATGCTTTTGTGTACGCTATTATATTATCATTTGCAATATTATATTGCTGTAAATAATTAATGTACTCTAAACTATAGACTGTTGCTGCTACTATCACTACATCTACTACAACCCCAGCAACAGTAACCACAGCAGCTACAACCACTTCTGCACAAGCGGTTACCACTGTTCAAACGGTTCAAACCTCTACACCAGTACGTTGTATAAAATACATACATATTTATAATTTTTATTCAATATATTATATTATTTATGTTATATATATATATATATATATATATATATATCAGATAAAAAATTATATACTGGGTTGGAAAGAAAATAATGTCGTATTTTCCTAACAGATGACTTTAGTATGTTTTACTAGAAAAAAATTTCAATTTAGATGGCACAAATATATGCCATTCTGATAGCTGAGCCTAAGCGCTGACCTCTAAGCGTCATTTGTATAAAGAATGTATGTAGAAGCATTTTGTGTTAAGATCGAGAGAAAAATGGAGCAAAACAAATTTGTGTTTTCGTTGTTTGATGCTGTTTTACTTCCGGAAAAACTTAAAGGAAAAAACGCGACGCAAACGAAAAACAAAAATATATGCTGTGTATAGAAAAGATGCCGTAACAGAATATATGTGCCAGAGATGGTTTACGAAATTTCGTGCCGATGATATGGCACTTGACGAGGAACGCTCTGGTCGACTGGCTGTTGCTAAGGATAAATAAAAACTTTAATCGAGAATAATCAATGATACACGACGCAGGAGATTGCAGAAATATTCCACTTATCTCACACAACCTTCATTGAGCATTTGCATAACCTAGGACACGTGAATCATCTTGATGCCTGGGTATCGCATGATTTATCTGAGAAAAGTTTAATCGATCGCATTTCCATCTGCGATTCGTTACTTAAACGTAATGAAAACGACCCACTTTTAAAACGAATCGTGACGGGCGATGAAAAATGGATTATCTATAATAACGCAGTGCCCGAACGGTCCTGGAGAAAATGTTCAGAAAAGTTATTGATCACTCTAAAGACTGGGCTTCAATCGGAGAAGGTCATGCTGTATATTTGATGGTACTGGAAGGGTGTGGTATATTACGAGTTCTTTTCAAAGAACGTACGGTTTAATTCGTACAGTATCCAATTGGACCTTCAGTGCCAAACTGTAGGAAGCCATTGCAGAAAAGCGTGAAAATGGTGAATAGAAAGGGTGTTTTATTCCATCCGGACAATGCCAGGCTTCATGCTTCTTTAACCATCCGGGGAAAAATATTGCAACTTGGTCGAGATTTTTACTGCACCCAATATATTCACCAGACATTGCTCCTTCGGATTACTACTTGTTTCGATCCTTATAGAACTTCCTTAATGGTAAGACGTTCACTTTTTGGAGGACTGCAAAACTACTTTCAGCTGTTTTTCGCTGAGAAAACACCACGAGTTCTACGCGCGAGGAATTATGCAGCTGCCCGAAAGATGGCAAAAGATTATAGAGAACAACGGCCGTTACATTACTCTCCGATTGAAGTTGTTTTTAAATATAAACAAACTTCCTCCAATTTTGACTTAAAACACGACATTACTTTCTTCCCAACCCAATAACATACATATTGGGTAAAAAATTATATATGTCTCTCTCCGTGTGTGTGTGTGTGTGTTTGCATATATCACCAATATAATTATATACAATGGCATGTTTTCTTTTTTCAGCGTCAGAATTCTGAAAATACCAAAGAAAAGTGCCGTAAATTCTTAGCGAACCTATTAGAGTTGTCTAGTCGAGAGCCTAAAGCAGTGGAACGCAATGTCCGAACTTTGATACAAGAGTTGATCGACACTAAAGTCGAGCCGGAAGAGTTCTGCGACAGGCTCGAGAAATTGTTGAACGCTTCGCCGCAGCCATGTCTCATTGGATTCTTGAAGAAGAGTCTGCCGCTTCTGCGGCAGTCTCTTGTTACGAAAGAATTGGTGATAGAAGGAATCAAGCCTCCGCCGGCCAATGTCGTCTTTTCCATAGCTTCAGCTGTTCCAACTATCACGCAGGTAAGACCGCCTTATCTTCTCCCCCTCTTGTTTCTTTACAAATTCTTGTAATTCTATAATTCTACCTACAATTCTCATCATTATTCCTATAATTCTTATCTGTAATCCTGTAATTCTATCTTTAATTTTACCTGTAATTCTTATAGATTTTATCCTTCATATAGGATGAATCATCCAGGTATGAAATAATCTCCCTTTACATTATAGCAAAATCAATTCAGACCAGCGGTGGCAGTTGCGGCTACGGTTCCTGTAGCAGCGACCGCGACGGCAACGACTCAAGTGAGAGTGATGACACCGCTTCCAACGGCAGCGACGGCGGTGGCGGTAGCAGCAGCACCTGCACCAGTATCAACACCAACGCTAGCACCGGTGACGGTAGCGGCGACAGCAGCGACAGTAGTTACAACAACCGTTCCGCGACCTGCTCAACCTGTTCAACAAAGGCTGGTAAGATCTTTGCGGTCTGATTTCTAGCTGCTGATGTATGTGTGCGACGCGTCCGGTATTCCCGTGAATATCGTATGGGATTTGGTCGTGGCAAAAAAAGAAGAAAGGTTCCCGTGGATTCATCGTTTCACCGTTTGCCCGTTCCAGGTTCGACCAGTGACGACAGTGGTTCGCAGCCCTACCGCGTACGCCGTGAAATCGACGGTAGCGCTTACCGGAATTCGCCCGACCACCCCGGTTGTGCAAAAGCCACCTATTACGACCACAGTTGTGAAAACGATCGCAACCACCACGCAAGGCAAGACAGTCAATACAACCACCACTGTTAATAAAGCCGTAGTGCCTTCTCTCGTTCAAAAACCCGCCGCAAAGGAGAAAGAGAAAAAGTCGTTTTCATCAGCAGGATATACGTAAGTTTTGCACTCCCCTTTCTTCCATTTTTTTTTTTTGTCTTTCTCTCTGTACCTTCTCATATCGTTGACAGTTTTTTTTTTTTCATGTCTATCAATGCTTCAGAAATCATATTTTATAAGCTTTCTTAGAAAGCTAGCTCTTGAATGTTAATAAACGCTTTTATTCACTTATCTGTCTCTCTTTCATCTCGATGAAATGAATGAAGAAATTATACAGGGTGAGACAGTAACGATTGCCACCTTGAATATCTTTGGAAAATAAAGATATTTTATTAACGACAGATGAAGGTGAGAAACACTTACATTTACAGAAGACGTTCAAAGTGATATCAATGCGATTTTTGTTTTAAATACATTTTTCTCCCTCTCTTTATATTTCGAAGATATTCAAAGTGGTGATAGTCATTGACTCATCACATGATTCCGTATGCTGTTTAATTAATGCAAAATGGTAATGACGCGAAAATCGCACTTTGTTTTGTCACGTAGGGCGGACGACGACATAAACGATGTAGCGGCTATGGGTGGTGTTAATCTTGCGGAAGAATCTCAAAGAATACTCGGTTCTACAGAATTTGTCGGTACCCAGATACGATCCTGTAAAGATGAAGTATTTTTGCACATTACGCCGTTGCAGCAGAGAATTAAACAAATCGGTAATTTTCGTTCCTTCTTTGGCGCTATTTATATTTATTTACTCTCTGTTGCTATAAATTGGATTATACCCAATAGTATCTATATAAAACTGCGCTGTTTCAGCCTCCACTTACGGACTGGAGGAACCCAGCCAAGAAGTGGCAGCGTTAATCTCGCACGCTGCGCAAGAGAGGTTAAAGAATTTAGTAGAAAAATTAGCGCTAATTGCGGAACATAGGGTAGATTTTATTAAGGTAAGAGCTCGAGTTTCCCCATCGCATTTCGCGCGAATCTTTGTACTCTCTTTCGTTCAAGCGTGTACGAGGAACTAAGGACTACTGCTAATTAAAAAGCGTTACTATTTAAAATTATCTTTACAAAGGCACGGGATGTTTTACGTTCTTCACGTAACACGTTCCACTCGATTCTGCTGGCAGGTTGATCCCAGATACGAGGTGACGCAGGACGTGAGAGCGCAACTGAAATTTCTGGAGGATCTTGATAGGGTCGAACGTAGGAGACACGAAGAGCAAGAACGGGAGTTGCTCTTACGTGCCGCGAAGAGTCGCGCAAAAACGGAAGATCCCGAACAGGCCAAATTGAAGGCGAAAGCCAAAGAGGTAATACGCAAGTATCCGTGTTCTCCTGTTCGTTGGATTCGCGAAAAAAAAATTTCTATCAGCTGCGTTAGTAAAACGCCGAAACGAAGAATTTGTTTCAGAATTGTTAATGAATGTTATATCGATTGCTAATTTTGTAAATATCAAAATCGTAAGTCAATAAAGATTTTTAATCGAAAATCGTGTTATTTAGTACGGAATAAAAAATAATACATCGTTTCAGATGCAACGCGCGGAGATGGAAGAGCTGAGGCAGAGGGAAGCGAATCTAACAGCCTTACAAGCAATCGGTCCTCGCAAGAAGCCTAGACTCGACATAGCGGGCACGACCAATAGTTCGGGAAGCACCGGTGGTGCGAACACATCGCACAGCGGGCCGAACAGGCAGATGCCGATGAGACCGCGTTTCAAGAGAGTGAACATTAGGGATTTGCTGTTCCTGCTCGAGCAGGAGAAAGAAACGTGTAAAAGCACGACGCTATATAAATCATACTTGAAGTGATGCCCTGTGAAGGGCAGGAACTTCAGTGACCCGCCCGATATCTGGCGTCCTTCCTGTATGGTTTCGTGCGAGAAGCTGGTGGGACTCGGCGGAACTCACCGTGCGACGTTATCGTCTTACGTTGTAGTAGTGTACAGTGTTTTATAAGTCCGGGAGATCGCGATGAGGATCTCCCAGTTTGGCGNGGGGGGGGGGGGGGGGGAGGAATGCGGTCCGGGATTCCGCGTACATTCAAAATAAAATCGTTTCCACCGTGTCGATACTAAGCTTCCCTACTAATAAAATGACTGAACATTTTTTAAATGTAATATAATAGATCGTTCTTTATTTTTCAACACGAAATCGCATCAGTGAGAGAACGAGAATGAAAGATAGAGAGTGAGAGAGAGAGAAAGAGAGAGAGAGAGAGCGAGCAAGCGAGCGAGCGAGCGAGCGAACGAGCGAGAGAGAGAGAAAGAGAGAGAAAGAACTAAGCAATGCGGAGCATTTCTCGCGAGTTAGTCTCTATAGTCTCTTTTGTGGTGAGGACATTGTGCATGGCCATATATGAATAAAAATTGTTATATGGTGCGTGAATGTGTTAACATGCGTGAGTGCATTAGTGAGTGTAAATTTGTCACTAAGTATATGCTGGTTGCATTGTAATACTTGACCTATACTTTTGGACACTGTAGCGTCAGTGTAAAATAAGCGTGCAGGTTTTGTTATCATAGTAAAATCGTATTTTTGCAAACTGTAATGTAATAATATAATAATAATAATAATAATAATAATAAAAATAATACCGCGAGCACACTGTCCAAAAAGTATGGAATAATTTGTACAATATCTTACACATAATTAAATAGTGATAATTTCAATGTTGGTACAACAGAATATAGCTACTCTTCACCGGAAGATGGAATTGTTATCAGTATATTATGTTGTAATCTACATTTTCAGTGTTTATAAAGAAAAAAATTAGCTGTTACGTTTTTTATTAAAGAAAGATTTACAAAAGTAAGAATAACGGAATATTTTTTTGATCGATGTTAATTTAATTATTTATGTGTTTCCTTCTCGGAACTCGTAAGTCCGCCGATAACATACATACATACATACATATGTATATAAATACATATTCCGCTATATATTGTCCGGAGAAAGTTGTGCTTTGCGCGATCAATTGAAACAAATTCAATGCGAGTACCTGATTTGTATGTAAAGGAAGGAGATTAACCGCGCAAGAGTGCACACGTGGGTGCCTGAAAACAGAAGAAAAAGGGAGATAAAAAAAAACGTACAGAGCAATGCTCGAGACACACTCGGTGAACCTTTTCTCGCCGCACGTCGACTCTTCGTACATCACACAGACATACGCGCACGAGCACGATTCCGTGCGCTCCGTTTCTTTTACGTTGTCGAGAGATATTATGCGTAACACTTGTATGTGTGTACGAGAGGAATCTATCGATTAATCTCTGTAGATCACGTCGCATGTTATTATTATTATATTATTTACAACGTAATACGAATTTAATTCGCGTGCAATATAAGTTAGAGCACATCTCTCTTAACAGGAATTCTTCTTCTCTCACGCGTTCAGTCTCGCCGCGTCGTTTCACGGCTCTCGTATTAATTGCTCTCCCGTGGGGAGGGTCAGTACACGGAAAAAAAATTAGCCTTAAATCAAAAATAGATATTCTCATTTATAAGCGAGAATATCATAATCTTCTTGGGAGACTTTTTAGTCTCGATTTGATTGAATTTATATTGATGTATTACTTTCAAGACTAAAAATTTCAAGAATAAACATTTTCTGAGAAGATTATAATATTCTTACTTATATATGAGAATATCTATTCTTTATTTCAAACTAATTTTTTTCCGCATACACACATACACACACACATATACACACACACACCTTCGTCGAGACAGCTTGCTTCGTATTATCCTCAATTGCACCGATCTTTGATACAATTACTTTATATCGTTAAGAGGCAATTTTGTATCGTTAATTAACATTAAAAGTCTCACGAATTTTCGAGTACTGCCGACTTACGAAATGCCCGCTACGAGAGCAACGGTATTGCATATATATATACGTATATATACATATATATATCTTATATATTTATATATTCGCCTTTATTTATTATCAACCCGCAGTTAGTCCGAGCGTTGATTAGATTATTCGGCGCGATTCGCGGCTTATCTTGTCGCGACACGCGTTCCCGCGAAAATTGTGCATCGACATCGATACTCTCGTTATCCCAGCAATTTTTGCGCTTTCGTTTGTTTAAGGGATGGGTTAGTGTGAAGAAAAACGGGGGATGGGACATGATAAAGATAAGGTACTTCCATGATAGCGTATTCGGGACGGCACGGGTTGTACGCGTCCCTCGCGGCTATCGGACGTCGTTAATGAGAACGAGAAGTGTGGCGACGCGCGTGTCATCTCGTTAATCGTTTCAATGAGACGAGCGTTCTATTTAGAGAGAAAAAAAGAGAAAGACTGAAGCTAAGCACGTAGGAAGGAGGTAGACGGATACACGAATCGCCGAACTGCCGCGCGGAAAATTGATTGTAAAATCGCGGAAACGGCATCGTCGCTGCGACGCTCGCATTGAACGTTTTTCTAACGCGGGCATTTGAAAGCCAGACAGCATAAATGTCCGAAAGACGTCTTGGGTGAGGACGTGCATTGCATTGTCCTGCAAAAAAGTGCACCGAAATTTACTGAATATCTCGAGAAAAGCTGTATTTTTCGGCAAATTGTCAGGGACGCGCATTGCCCTGAAGAAAAAATGTAATGGAATTTAAAAATTAAAAAGTTCGCATTTCTGTATCATGACTTTTCGGGAAAATCCTATGCTTCCAATGTTGCGTGTAAATTGTATTGCGGGAGGTTATCTCGATATTATTATTTCGGGAAAATTATCTCATCACCGAAAAAAAGCCTGGTTGTATTAACCGGGAAGGGAACAACCAGATGTATTTTGATTGGAGGAATGAAGGAATGAAACAGAATTTCTGATTATAAGAACTACATTTTGGTCATAAGAATCAGAAATTCTATTTCTTTCAATCAGAACGCATCTAGTTGCTCCCTTTTTGATTAATGTAACCAGATATTTTTCAGTGTAGTTTCCGAATTTCGAAATTTTGATATTCAGTTAGACATGTCTATCCCAAATAAATATACTGAAAAAAATAAGGAAAATTACAAAATTCACATTTCGGTATTATGACTTTTCGGGAAACTCGTATGCTTTTATATGGAAAAGAAATTAGTATCAATTTGAGACTCGTACTCTTATATACGTACAACAAAGAATATATAAACTTATTTGAAAATAAAATTTGTTCTTACGTAAAAAAATTCCATGTAGTTCTACTAAAAATGTCATATTCTTTTTATTCAAGAATAATGTTTACGAATTGAGAGGAGAAAATATTGAATAGAAAGAACGATATTTTCAAACTGATAGAATTCTTAGTTTGAAAAAATCATTTTTATATTTAATATTTTTGTCTCTCAATTCATGAAAATTATTCTGGTACAACGTGAACACATTTTTAGTAATACTGTATCGAATTTGTAANAATATCCTTATAATATATATATATATATATTATAAGGATATTCTATATATATAATTATTTTTAGTTATATATCTAATTATATATGAAAATTTTTTTTCCTGGGTTCATATAAGATTACATATTTTTGCTTACATATACAGAAAATATAAATCTTGAATTGTTACTAATGTATTTTTCCGTGCAACATTCCCTCCCCCTAGAATTTATCGAAATTTAAAAAATAAACAATTTCCTGAAAAATCATAATATTGATAACCATCGAAAATGATCATAGATTCCGAATTTCGAGATTTTTTTTTTTTCAAGACAATATCCATGTCCATCGCGTCTTAAAGATGTCTGTAGGACATCTTGGTAGTGTTTTCGACATCTTCCAGAGTGTCCAAGACCTATTTTAGACATTTACGCTGTCTAGCAATGCGCGGGTGAGAACGATCGGTGATGAGCGTGGATCAATGCAGAGTATCACGTGCAATGGGCATTTTCCCTCTCGTAGTTGCGATCTCTCTCTCTCCCTCTCTCTCTCTCTCTCTCTTTTTCTGTGCCGGTGGGCTAGTAGCGATCAATTCGGACATTCTCACGGGAAGATATCGGGGGAAGGATCGGTGGAATCTCTGACGTTCATAGACGTGTGCTACAATTTGCCGGAGACGGACGTCTGATGATGCGCATCTCGTTGTAAATAATAAGCCTCCGTTCTCGGGCTCGCGTGCTCCGTCGGGAAAGCGCCCGAGCCGGTCGCTCATTGTGTAACGACATCTTCCACCGAGTAAATCGCGCGCAGTAGACAAATGCGGAGACCTTCACCTGACCGTATATTACATTTGCGATTGTTATGCATCTGTCCTCTCTTTTTTTCTTTTTTTTTCTATACGAACTCGACCCGAGGGAAAAAAAAAACGCGAGCTCTCGTAGAAAATGAGTCATGAATGTTCTTCTCCGACTGCCAACAGACGGAATGCATTAGCGTATCTGTATGAAACACGTAGAGAGGGGAGCATAAAAAAAAAAAGAAACAAAGAAGAAGCATTACGGCACGCATTACGGTTTTAGTACGTTATGGTATTTTTATAAATTGTACTGGATAAACAGCGAGCGTGAGATAATAAAAAGAACACACAGAAGAGCGAGTCTCTCTCGAAAAATCGAAATCCACACCGTATGTCTCTTCATTCTCTAATCAGATCTCGTGTTTTCTCTCGTTCCGTTTGTCCGTGATGGTGACTGACCGTCGATGCCTCGAATCTCACCCTTCCTTTTACATAGGGTGTTCTGCGAATAAATCGACAAATTTCGCCAGCATATTTGGGAGGTCATTCTGAACAAAAAATGTTATATAAACAGTAAGTCGATTCAGCTGCGTTATCGAGATACGGAAGGTATATTGATATAAACCATAAATAATCAGAGGTGTTCAAGCTAATTAACCCTTATCGGACGCTAGCTTTTTATGCGTGATTCTCACTAGGTTGTAACTGGTTTCGGTAAATATGCGAACTTGTCACCTCCTATGTGACGTACGACCACAGCGACGAAGTATTGTTGTCACGTGAGAGGTGACTTACGACCGATAAGGGTAAATTTTTGCTT